TCAAACATAAGACAGTAGTTCCAATATGGAGCATCCTAAAAGAATAACCAAAGTCTGTGCAGGTGACGTAATTCAATTAGTCAACAAACACTTCAAGTGTGCCTCTGTTGTCCTAGCTATTGTGTTAGTGAAGGAAATCCTTGGGCTGCTTTCCTATTAGATTATTTTTCCTCCCTTATTTGTGGGAGAGGAAAGGAATTCGCACCCATTTAGGGTGAAGGTGTTGAGAGATTAAGTTCAGATCCTAGTAGTAGATCTTTTCCTTCCAGAACAATGTGAGCTCACTTTTCTTTTTATAGGTTTATGAAAAGAGTAATGAACTCAACTACATTTTCCTTAAAAGAATGAGATTTATTACTTTTGATAATGAAGTTGAACCCCTGAACACTATATACTGATGGCAGTGGGTCCCAGCTTGTGGAGGTCTTGGCAAACTGTTAGTGTCTTATCTCCATAGCTCCATTCTTGCCACTGTGGCAAAACTATCGATGCCTAGGATTGTGCCCTGGGGTACCATACAACACCAAATATAAGAACAGAAATATACTTGTAAGCTGGAGTTCTGCTAAGGAGTTGACAAACAATGTTTCCGGAAACATTCTTCTTTGCTAAAGTTATTTTGAGAAAACAAAAAAGAGCAGATTAATTTTAAGCAACCCAAAATATTATTCTCCATGCAGATATGGAAGACAGAGGTGAAGCCAGGTCTTGGCTGGAATTTAGACAGGGTTACAAAGCCCTGTTCTCAAACCAGTAGAGATGACATGGTAGGAAACTATAATGGCAGCTGCCATGTGTGTGAGTGTGTGTGTGTGTGTGTGTGTGCGAAAGATAGAGAACAAGAGAGCTGTAAGCATTTGAAACAAGTATTGAAGACATTGTAGGTGTGGTACATGGAATAGAGTCAGTAGTACTGCGAGGGGCATATACTAGGACATCAATAAATATTTGTGGCCTGAAAGTGGAGCATTCTAAAAGGACCTTTTGACCTTGAAGATTATATTAATAGAGCAATAGGGATATACTGGCCCTTTGGTTTTAGTATTCATATAGCCATATGATTTCTGAAGAATATCACTTGAGACCTTGATTTGCTGTTATAAAAATGAGTAGAAATGAAAATCACATGTATTGAGTCCCAAGGTAGTGGCAAATTGAACCAAGTGGTGTAACCAAATTGAGAATTTGCTGAACACATAAGGCCGTGGCTGACCCCATCTTTGATAAAGCCCTGACCAGAATAATACACAGTTGTAGGCCTTTCCCAAACCCAAACTGCATTAATTTTATCCTCTATAGAAAGACACACTTTCTAGCAATGTTCCTCTCAGTATTTAAAGGGTATAGTAGACATAGAAAAAGTTTACTTTTGTTAATATAACACACAGTTCCTGCCATACACAACTTGTTATTTTATTATACTAGTCAAGGATCTCTGGGTTGAAAGTGATAGAAATTTAGTGAAAGTAAAGTAAGGGGTAAAAGCAAATTACTTGCTCACTCAAGTCAAAGTTCAACCGGATTTACTTGAATACCATCAGAAATCTCTCTCTCCATCTCTGCTCTGTTTTCCTTTGTGTTCACTTCAGTCACTAATGGGCTTCTCTATCCAGTGGGAAAGTTGGCCCGTGGTGGCTCCACATTTAGCTGATCCTCAGAGCGCATGATCCCAGAGGAAAGAGCAGGCTTCTCTCCTCTGCTCTCAGTATTTGAGAAGAACCCTGATTGACCTACCTAAGTCAGATCCCACTAGGTGGAGGTGCTGTGCACGTGGCGGGTGAGGAAACTCCCTTGATAAAGTGACAAACAGGGGCAAAAAAGAAAAGCAGAGCTATGGGGGCTGTCATGCGGTAATCTTGGGGTCAGTGGATGACATGAGGGGTGACTGGGAAGAAAATATCAGCTCTGCAGTGATCGACCTAGGTGCTGTGCTGTCTCTTCTCACCATCTCCCACCTTCCTAGACCTTGAACAGGATTAAACAGACCCATCTCCAGGATCATCAGCCTTGGTATGATTTCAAGGACAGGGAACAGGGCCTTTCTGCCTAAAATACGTATTTCCAGTTGCATAGTATATCTGGAATTAGTTTTACTCAAGGCAAAGTATATTGCTCCAGATTAATCTTTGATAGATAAAAAGCCCCAATGCAAACATCTGGCAGAACTGGCTCATGGTTGCCTTCTGTCACCAACAGGGGGTCACAAAGGATGAAGGCGCAGACAGGGGAAAGAATGTCCAATGGGCCAGCCCCTGCCCACAGCAGAGAGGTAAGTAAAGAGAGGCCAGCTATCTCTGAAGTACTGAAAGGGATGGAGGTCTTAGCTTTAAAAAAAAAAAAATTGACATCTTTGGGGCATTGGGGTCAAGGTCCCTCTCTCAGGATCACTCCTCTTCTGTAGAGATCAATTTTGGTTGTTCACTCTGAGCAACACCAGCACTGGGCTATGTAGTGAGTTTTATTATTGTTAAGACACAGAGGCCTACTTTTCTTTCTGGAGAATGTGGTCCCAACAAGCATGATAAAATAAACAAGGGAAAATCCACTGAAACAATAAAAAATGTTCTATTCTCCAAGTTCACTTATGTCTCTGGGTAAATGGCGTACGATTAAAGGGAATCATACAGTTTGGTGTAAGAATTTCTATGGTTATAATTTTAAAAAGCTTGTCTAGAGTTCATTTTATATCAGCTTTTCAACTCATCAGGTTGTTTTGTTGCTATTGTTGTTGGTTTTGGTTTTTGGTTTTTTTGGATTTGTTTTTTGCCTTGAAAACTTTGGGTCTTCTGTTACAAAATAAATTTATGAATTTCTTCTTGAAAATCAAGATACCATAGAAATTATTGATACTAGACTTCAAGGCAACTTGGAGATAGAATATGCCAACTAGGGAATGTTTGCTAATAACTATATAGACTTAAGAGATCTTTCCAGTGAATACATACCTTCCAACCATCCAGGACAAACAGGTATTATTGGTGCTGCTCTATTTGTCCCTGAAAACAGATGGCTACCCACCAGCTGCCCAGCTGTCCCATCAGATCTTCCTGCCCCCATTGCTTTCTTGTCTTAAAAGTCAATTACTTGCCCTTCAGTATACCAACTGACATCAAAGAAAAAAAAAAAAAAGTCCTAAAGTTCAACAGAGTGAAATTGACATTTAAAAAAGGAATTTTAGGGTCCTGGGTGGCTTAGTCAGTTAAGCATCCAACTCTTGGTTGAGCTCAGGTCATGATCTCATGGGTCATGGGATCAAGCCCTAAGTTGGGCTAGCCACTCAGTAAGGAGTCTGCTTGAAGATTCTCTCCCTCTGTCCCTCCCCCACTCACACTCTCTCTTTCTCTCAAATATATAATCTTTTTTTAAAAAAAGGAATTTTAACTAGGAAACTAAAGGGATATCTGTACAAAATCCCAGAGAAATTTCTAGAGGGTCTGATAAAAGTGCTTAAGCTTTGAAGCAGATAGATATGGTCTCTGACCTTGTCAAATCACAACTTCTCGGAGGCTCGCCTGTAAAGTAAGTGACCATCTATTTCATGATAATCATGACTGCCTTGTGAGCAGATGTGAGGGTTAAAGATATAATTAATGTAGGTGCAAATGCAGACTTGTATGGACTGGAGCCTGGACCTGCTGAGGGATGTGCCAGGAGAAATGACCATCCCTTCATCCATTTTTATGGTCAGTTCTTGGTATTGGGCTGAGATTGTCTCTAGATCTATCCTTAAATTCATTTTTTTCTGACCATATGGGAAAGCAATGTAACTAATTCTCTAGCTCTTGCTCTGTCTCTTACTCTCTCCCTCCATGCAATTCTGGGTAATTTTTAATCCATCTATTATTGTGTGTAATTGTATGAAACCAGAAGCATTTACTGTATTTTTATCACATTTTGGAGCAGTATTCATGAGGAACTGTACAAATATTATCTGATATGTATCTCTTCACAAGAAAGACAACCTTAAACACATATACAAGACAAAGCCCAAAGTGGAGAAAGCAGTTGTTTTGTTTTGTTTTGTTTTGTTTTTTTTGCCTACACAGCCTTAGGCCACAGACCTTTGCTCAGGGGGCAGTGGAGCTGCTGGGAGGTCACTGATGTTTTTTCTTTGGCCCTATAATCTCTGTCCACTTCAGTCCCTCTCCCAATAAACCTACCACCCACTGTGTGCTTTCAGCTCCAAGCCAACTTCTCTACCTGGTCTCCAACCATCCCCCACATCCCCCAATCGAAATGTCAAAATGTCATTCATAACATCTTTGTATATAGAGAATATGAAGGTTCCACCAGCAAGAGACCCTTTGCCCAGGAGGGTTGCATAGTAAGTATGGTATAAATTGGAGTCAAAGCTTCTTTTTACTTTGTTGCTAAAAGATATTTACTTGATTTTGAGAATAAGGATAAATTATTTTATGGCAATATTAAAAAACAAAACAAACACAGAAAAGAAAACCTTAATGTGAGTAAATGAGAGAAATTGTGTTGCATAGGATTCCTTTGGTATTTAGATGTTATTGTCAATATTAATCTAGATATTAATCCAGAGATCATGAGAAGTTTTTTTCAAATACTATTTTTATTTACATAGAATTTAAAAGAAAATATTAGTTCATTAAGTAGAAATATTTTATAATAGAAATGTATGAAACAGTATATTCATATGAAATAGGAAATGTATGGGAAAATATTCATTCAGGTAAAAGTTCCATTTATGCAAAACTTGGCCTATCTATGTCAAATTAACTGTCTCAATAGAGAGTGAAAAAGAATTGCTTCAGGATTGCTTCTGACTGAATTGTTATCTTTTTTTTTTTTAAAGATTTTATTTATTTATTTGAGAGAGAGAGAATGAGAGAGAGCACATGAGAGGGGGGAGGGTCAGAGGGAGACGCAGACTCCCCGCCGAGCAGGGAGCCCGATGCGGGACTCGATCCAGGGACTCCAGGATCATGACCTGAGCCGAAGGCAGTCGCTTAACCAACTGAGCCACCCAGGCGCCCTGAATTGTTATCTTAAAAAAAATTAATCCAACAATATATTGTTAAATGCCTACTCTTACCTGGGCTCTCAAATGTTTATTTAGCTGTCTTAGAGCAAATGCAGATTGTTGTTGGGATATTACATTGAGAACTAAAGAGAGCCCTTTATTCTCTGCCTCCTCTTTAAATTCCAATGTTTTGAGCAGTGTTGCTTAAGTTAGTTTACAAGTACAATGTAAAGGAAGAAAGAATGGATAAACAAAGAGTTCCCTAAGGTGTAATGGTGAATGCTTCATCAAGAAAATATAAACACAACTTTCAGTGAGATCCTTCAACCATGAGCCATCCCATTCTCAGAGAGCTTTCGATTTCCATGTTGTGGAGCACTCCATACTCCTTCAAGGAAGTTCCACACATCTCTCTTCACTTCTCTGACTTCTTCTGTCTAGCATGGGCTGGTACATTTCAGCCACCACACAGTAACCAGAGTGAGGTGCCAGAGCTCCAATTTCAACAACTCTGCCGGCTCCTTCATATACCTTTTGCTCCTATACATAAAGGGGAAAAATAAGATTGTAAATGGTTTTTGGTTAGTCACCAACTTGCCCTATTTGTGATAAAATTAATAAGTTGTCCATGGTCTCAGTAGCAGTTAGGTTATAGACTTTCTTCCCAGACACATCCTCCTCCAGAGTCCTTATTCAGAGCCTGATAAAGGGACAGGTCATGGCTACGTACATGCAACATGAGGGTTGCTGACTGGCTGACCCAGTGGCCAGAGTCTCTTGTCCAAGAATTCGGACTGTACAGTGAGGAGAATGGGGGAGACATGGAGACCACTGTAGACACTGTACAACATGTGGCTAGAGAGATGAACTCACATCCTTTAAGACCTGCTTCTCCATTTGTCCTTCCTAGTCACTTCAAAGCCTGGCAGCACTATCTTTCCTGCGTCTGCCTGTCCCTAAGATCACTTGTTACCTCCTAATAAAATTCCCCTCCCCCTTCCCTTTTCTATGTGAACCAGTCCAAATAGGTTTCTGTTCCTTAGAACCAAAAGAACCCTGCCTTAGATGGACACTGAAAAGGAACATTCAATTAAGCATCATACAAGATAAAGGCACTGATGATGGATTAAAATATTATAGCAAAATTGGCATAAAGACATAATGCTGTGATCGAAAAGCCACTTAAAAAGTGTGCCCCAGTGTTCATAGCAGCAATGTCCACAATAGCCAAACTGTGGAAAGAGCCAAGATGTCCTTCAACAGATGATTGGATAAAGAAGATGTGGTTCATATATACAATGGAATACTACTCAGTCATCAGAAAGGATGAATACGTACCATTTGCATCGACATGGATGGAACTGGAGGGGATTATGCTAAGTGAAATAAGTCAAGCAGAGAAAGACAATTATCATATGGTTTCTCTCATATGTGGAACATAAGGAATAGCTCGGAGGACCACAGGGGAAGGGAGGGAAAACTGAATGGGAAGAAATCAGAGAGGGAGACAAACCATGAGAGACTCTGGACTCCAGGAAGCAAACTGAGGGTTACAGAAGGGAGGAGGGGGTGGGAGGATGGAGTAAGCAGGTGATGGGTATTAAGGAGGGCACGTGTTTGATGAGCACTTGGTGTTATATGCAACTAATGAATCATTGAACACTAAAAATAAAAAAAAAAAGTTTGTGTAAAATCCATAAAAATGAGTATGGAATTAAATATCATTAACAGCAATCTTTAGATATGCAAGCAAGATTAAGAGGACACCAGCTGAACAAAGGCACAAAGATACACATACACAAGAGTTGTAATGGTGATGCCAACTGCTAATTGTTTATCAATGAGGGTGGAAGTGAGAAGGAATTTAAAAAAAGGTTAAGAAAAGTAAGAGGGGATTGAGTGGCAAAAGAGAGGACATACTTTAGAGCTAAAATGTTACTTAAGTGAACAAAAGAAAAATACCAAACTTATCTATTCACCTGAACTTACCTTTTCCAGTGAATTATTAATTATAAAGACTCGGTATACTAGCTCATAGTAATTTTCTATTGATACATTTTTTCCTTTTTGGTCTCTATATGGTAAATTTGGAGCATGGAGAATCACCAACAAAGATCCATTAACTTGGGTTATATTCATGACGGGAGGATCTATTTTTGCTGGAGAAAGAATAGGAAAATTTGACAAATCATTCAAAAAATATAATATTTCACATGAACACACTCTAGATAACAAGTCAAGATTAAAATCAGAGATCTGGCAGAAATCATTATAAAGAGATACTGTTGACACCTAAAATATGAATGTCTGAGAAGTTCTTTAAAGATAATTTTTTCTTTGCAAAGACTGATACCTTTATCAGATGAGCTCTATTTGGGTCTTTTTCAATCTATTTGGTCCTTAAAAATAATATTTTGAACTTTGGTTATGCTTTTATTTCCTCTGTTATGTCTTTATTTACTTTGCTATCTGCTTCCACTATTACAAATACTTGAAAGGCGAATCCGGTAGATGACTGTTTGTTCCAAACTTGCTTATACTGATCTATTCCCTTGTGTTTTTACTGTGAGCACATGTCTAAAGTTGATACTTTCTTTTTTGTTACCTTTGTTTGAATTTTTTAAATTTAATTTTTAATTTTTTTTAAATCAGAGGATAGTGTGAACACAGTCCTCTACCAACAGAAACTGTACAGCCAAATTTCCCGTGCTTGGGGAAATTGCAGGGGTCAGAATGACCTGAGTGCAATGGATGAGGCTCACCCTGAGAGAACCACCTTCATGATCATGCTATCTCTCCCACCAGGTAAGTATGAATTTTTAAATTTTAAATAAAATTTATTGACCTGTAAGTTAGATATTGACAGATAAAATAAATCATAAATAAATAAATCATATGGCTCAACAAATCTTTACAAATAAACACTCCTGAATAGCTATTATCCAGATTAAAAACAGAACAGTATTAGCACCCCAGAAACTTCCTTCATTTTCTCTCCCATTACTTAGCCCCAGAAGATAACCACAATTGTCCTGACTTCTATCATCATATACATTAGTTTTTTTTGTTTTTTTTTTTTAAGATTTTATTCATTTGCTGAGAGAGAGAAAGCATGTGCACCTGAGCAGGGGAGGGGCAGAGAGAGAGAGAGAATCTCAAGCAGACTCCACACTGAGTGTGGAGCCCAATGTGGGGCTTGATCCCATGGCCCCAAGATCATGACCTGAGCCAAAATCAAGAGTTGGATGCTTAACCGAATGAGGCACCCTGGCCCATATACTTTAGTGTTTGAAATCATACAATACACACTTTTTTTGTGTGTCTGGCTTCTTTCATTATACATATATATATATGGGCTGAATTGTATCCCCTGAGAATTCATAGGATGAAGCTCTAATCCCTAGTACCACAGAATATGACTGTATTTGGAGAGATAGGCCCTTTAAAGAGGTAATTAAGGTAAAATAAAGTCAAACTGACTTCATGGGTGATATGGGTGGGCCCTAATCCAATATGACTGGTGTCCTTCTAAGAAGACATCAACATGCATGAGCACAGAGAGATGACTATGTGAGGACACAGAGAGAAAGCCAAGGAGAGAGGCCTTGGAAGAAATCAAACCTGCTGGCACTTTGGCCTTGGCCTTCTAGCCTCAGAACTGTGGGAAAGTAAATTTCTCTTGTTTAAGCAAGCGATCTGTGGTATTCCGTGGCAGCCCTAGCAAATAGGCAAATATATATATTCATCCATGTTGTTGCATGTATCAAGAGTTTGTTCTTTTGATTGCTATGTAGTATTTAATTGTATGAATATCACAATTTATTCACAGGTTTAGGTTATTTTATATAGATTTAGCTTTTATAGATATTTCCATGTTTCAGTGGACACACCAATTTATATTCCCTTAAGTGGTATATGAAAGTTCCTATTTTTCACATTGTAACACTTGACATTATTTTTACAAATTTTAATTTTGGCCATTCTGGTAAGTGTGTAGTACCAATTCATTGTGTTTCTGAGTCACATTTTCCTGAGGACTAATGGAATTTCATGTGTCTATTGGCCATTTATTTGGATGTCCTCTTTTGCAAAGAGCTGTTCAAGTCTTTTGCTCACTTTTTAATTGATTGTCTGGTCTTCTTATTAATTTGTAAGAGTTCGCTGTACATTCTGAACATAGTCCTATATGAAGGACATTGTAAATATCTTCTGTGACTTGCATTTTCATCATTTTAATAGTATATTTTGATAAATAGAAATTCTTAATTTTAGTGTAGCCCAATTTATCAGTTATTTCCTTCAGCATTAGTACTTTTGGGGATCTGCCTATCCCAAAGTTATGAAAAATATTCTCCCATGTTATCTTATGGAATGGTAGTCAGCAAACATTTTCTGTAAAGGGCCCGATAATAAATCCTTCAGGGTTTTGGGCGGTACGTGTGTCTTCTGTAACTACTCCACTTTGCCATTGCTTGCAGTATGAAAGCTGTTACAAGCAAAATGTAAATGAATGGGTGTGATTATGTTACAATATAATTTTATTTACAAAAATAGAAGCAGGCACTTTGGCCGACAAGCTACAGCTGCTGAGTTTTATTGTTCTCAGCCAGACAGACCTGATTTTATAAATGGGCAATGTAGGGGAACAAGATTTATTGTTTTATTTAGTCTCATTTAGACCATAGTGACTCCACTGAACTACACAGTGGACACAAATCAAATGACCCTAGATGTGTTGCATTGCTTCTGAACTCTGGTATTTGGTTTTGTGTCTGCAAGATGTCCTGTGGCACCATCAACCTGGTTCAACCTCAAGGTGGTGTTTTCTGAAACACAAAAGTTGGATATATTTGAATCTCAAGTCTTTATGAATTTAGGAAACACCTGATTGCTAACAGAGTCAATACTGAAACTAGGCCCTCCTTTGTTTCCTCTTTCTTGGAAGGGTTTTTCCTAGTCTGCTCTTTTATTTATAGGAGGCCTCCAAGTGTCCAAAATTTTGTGAGGGTACTAGTTGTAACTCCCCACCTTGTGTGGTCTACAACCTAGTCTTCTGACCCAGGAATGGCTGTTACCACTCAGGGTTTAGTTACCAAGTTGGGAAAATGCCCACAGGATAATAAGGCTTCACTTTGTTTATCCTCTGGTTTCCAGCTACTTTGTTTTGGACCCTGGAGATTTCCTTTCTTTCATGTTCCTCTGTAGAGTTAAAAGAATGGTAATGTTTTATCCAGACTTTGTGAGCATTTTAGAAGAAGACAGTTTCTACCCTTGCAACTTCCTACCCCCTGCCATTTAATCTGAAACCAAAGTTGTTAATTCACTTTTCAAATGCCAGAAATTTTGCATAATTGCTTGGTGAAGGATTTCCCCTTTGTTTACACTTTAAGTTTCTGAAGTGGTTGGTATTTAATCCTCTTTGTGATTTCTATGATCCAAATTCTAGTGACAACAGACCCCTTGTCTATCCCTTGCAAGATGAGAAGAATGAGTTATTTCTTAGTTTTGTAGGCTAGTTTGATGTATGTTTAATTTTCTCCTAGATAAAAAACATATTTCTAACATTCTTATTACATATCTAGCACCAAAAAAACAAAAACCAAAAAATCCAGTCCTTTTTTAATAATGTGACTCAGAGTTTAGACTTACTTCAATTGGTAGACATTAGTTAAGGATGAATAATGAACAAATGAGACTAAATAAAACAAGAATAAGGATGAATGGCAAGATTAAATACTACTGTGTATTTTTCTTTTCACTTTTTAATATTTATGTGTAAGCTGACCAATCCTTGCCCCTTCTGGCCCAAGTTATTATTATTGAAGAATTTTCTTTTAATCATATGCATGTAGAACCTATCCTTTGAATGTATACCTTCATTATCTTAGATTTGGTTGCTCAATGTGATACTTAATCTTAAATACAGGTGAAATATATATTTCAAGTATTGGCCTAGAATACCAGTGAGCCTGGCTGCAGACATCACAGGAGCTCCTGGTGTGTGATCTAGGATGCTGAGCTTTGTAACTGAGTGACCATTCTTGACCTATGCACTGAATCGTGATTGTGTTACAGTGGACAGTTTAAGATTACTTGACCTCACAAGTCCATTTTACTCAACTGCTCTCTCCTTGAAATATTCTCTTCCCAGACCATTCACAAATATAACAGTCTGCTGGGTCCCTCCTACCTTGTTGGCTATTTCTTCTCAGTCTCCTTTTGAGATATGTCTTCCCTACTCAGGCATCTTTTGTTGAGATTCTTTCAATACCTGGCCTTACTCTACACTCCTTCTCAATACTTCTTCCTGCTTCAGCAGTCCTATCAATGCCCATTGTACTATATGCAAATTTATATGCAAATGTGTCTAATAGAGTTCTGGATCTGCATAGATATTTCCCTTGGATATCTGAAAAGCATATTAAACTCAACATATTCAAAACTGACTTATGATCTCCAATACTCTGTACCCCATCAAATTGGTCTTTTTCCATCAAACCTCATAAAAAAAATCTCATCCAATTATGCAAGCTGGAAGCTTAGAGGTCATCTTTGACATGTCCTTCTTCCTTATTTCTATATGCAACCCATCACCATGCCCTGCCAATTTTTCCTACCAAATGTCTCTTCAATGATAAATTTTTTATAGTCCTTTCCATTTCCTAATTCAAGCCAAATCCTGACTCTTACAGACTATTACAAGAACTCACTAACTCGTGGGGGAGGTGCAAGATGGCAGAGGAGTAGGAGACCTAAGTTTCTTCTGGTACCAGGAATTCAGGTAGATAGTTATCAAACCATTCAGAACACCTACAAACTCAATAGGAGATCAAAGAAAATAATAGCAGCAACTCTCTGAACAGAAAAGCAACCACTTTCTGGAACGTCTCTTCTGATTTGTTTAGTATATATTTTTCTGGGGTTATTGTTATCCTGTTAGCATTTTATTCTCTCATTCATCTATTCTCCTCTGGACAAAATGACAAGATGGAAAACTCACCTCAAAAAAAAGAACAAGAGGCAGTACCAACTGCCAGGGACCTAAATCAATACAGACATTAGTAAGATGTTGGAACTAGAGTTCAGGATGATGATTATAGAGATACCAGCTAGGCTTGAAAAAAGCATAGAAGACACTAAAGAATCCCATTCTGGAGAAATAAAAGAACTAAAATCTAACCAAGTCAAAATCAAAAAGGCTATTAATGAGGTGCAATAAAAAATGGAGGCTCTAACTGCTAGGATAAATGAGGCAGAAGAGAGAATTAGTGATATAGAAGACTAAATGATGGAGAATAAAGAAGCTGAGAAAAAGAGAGAGGAACAACTACTGGGTCACGAGGGGAGAATTCAAGAGATAAGTGATACCATAAAACAAAACATTAGAATAATTGGGATCCTAGAAGAAGAAGAAAGAAAGAGAGGGGCAGAAGGTATATTGGAGCAAATTATAGCAGAGAACTTCCCTAATTTGGGGAAGGAAACAGGCAGCAAAATCCAGGAGGTACAGAGAACCCCCCTCAAAATCAATAAAAATAGGTCAACACCCCAACATCTAATAGTAAAATTCACAAGTTTTAGAGACAAAGAGAAAATCCTGAAAGCAGCTTGGGACAAGAGGTCTGTAACCTACAATGGTAGAAGCATTAGATTGGCAGGAGACCTAACCACAGAGACCTGGCAGGCCAGAAAGAACTGGCATGATATATTCAGAGCACTAAACGAGAAGAATATGCAGCCAAGAATACTATATTTAGCTAGGTTGTCATTGAAAATAGAAGGAGAGATAAAAAGCTTCCAGGACAAACAAAAA